GGAGGAGGAGAGATACAGAGAACACCTCCAAAAACACCCATCTGGGACGATTCAAGCTGCGGATCTGCGCTCTGCTGTCTTTCTTTTAACCATCAGTGTGTTCCTTCTCTCCCCAGTTGCGCACACAGACGTTCAGAGGCAGGGAGAGGAGGTGGAATGAGAAAGAAACAATAAACGCGCAGCCCGGCGCCCCAACTATGGCTCCAACGACGCTCGTCGGAAAGCTCGCCCAGTCCGCTTCTCAGGAGCGGGCTGCAGTGCAGGATGAGAGGTCTGCTGTGCTCCACCAAGTGTGAGAGCAGGAAGACATATCAGCTGACAGGCGGCCCTCCCTTCGGGGGACAGAAACAGACACCCTCGCGCCTCTCAACCTGGAAACTGGAGGCTGGGGACGGCTCACTTCTGCCGTGCGTACAGTGCGCCTCCTTTCCAGAACTCTCCACTTCTCACTTTCTCCCGGAGATCCAGCACGAGCCTGTCGTCTCTCTGAGCAACTTGGGAAAACTTTGGCCCCCGGATTACTGCCGCTGAACCTGTCGGTGTCTCCATGCGGGGAGCGCAGTGAGCATCGTGCGCTCTGCTGCGGGGACTGGAAACAGCCTCGGTGTGTTAATATTCAAACTCCTGCAAAGTCTCTCAAAGTCCAGGGGCCACTGCAGCGAAGATGCCAGTCCGGAGGGGCCATGTGGCTCCGCAGAACACCTTCCTGGACACCATCATCAGGAAATTCGACAGTCAAAGTAAGATTATGGTTTTCTTTCCTTCTGTAACCTTTTAACTTTCTTTTTCTCTCTCATTAAGGCCCACTTTTAATAATTCATTTGTTGACTCAAAAGCTGTTTGAAAATAGCATTTTGATGATGCAGGCTTCCAGCTGACATTTTGTTTTCCAGAATTAGCCTCAATAATTATGTTTGCTGATGCATGGTTAATAGCTCTGGCAGTGGTGATGTCATAGCAGCTTAGAAATTGTGAGAAAACATAACCAGGAATCGAATGAAATCTCAGAAAAACATGACTTCTCCTTTCCAAAATCAAATCATATTAACTTACACCTATCATACTCACGCAGACTCACTCTAGAGGGGTTTATTTTACACCTCATTCATTTCTGATCTCAACATGAACAGCTTGTAGGCTGGAGCTGCTGGAGTCTGTTATTTGTGGATCTCAACCCTGCAGCTGCAACAGACATCTGTCATTCATCTTGCAGTAGGCCGTAAGTGTGTTACAAAGCAATCTAGAGCTAAAAAGATTTTTTAAAAATCAGATTGTTTCTGCAGATCCTCTCATGCTTTAATGTCAGCCTAAATGTCTCATGCTGCTGCCGTCTTGACTGATTTAGTCAGAAAAAGCAATCTGCTAAGAAATGACACACTTAGGTGCGTTTGGGGGCATTGAATCTATTATCTCTGGCTCAGTTGGTGTTCTGTATAAAATAGTTTATGCAGAAGCTATTGGACACACTTAATCTTACCCAGTATGCATATGCTTTTCAGACATAAAGCTATTATATACATAGTTTTGTTTAGCTTGAAAGAAAAAAATCTATATTGTATCAATTAATCTGCAGCAAGTTATAAGCCACAAAAACAAACAACACATCTAAACTACTAAATTTTTTATAGAGCCCAGGGGCATGAAATGTGAAGCTGCCTATATTTCAAAATACACAGGCCTCGATCCGTCCTCACTTCCCTGCGGTGGTTGTTATCTCTGATGCAAATCATTCATGGTTTTTTTTTTTTTCCATCTTCCAACGTGTGACCAGACTTCAAACGTGCCTCAGCGGCAGCCACAACGGCACGTCCCCAGCGGAAATTCTCCTCAGGCACTGGCGAAGAAGATGAGGATGATGATATGTGGCGTGAGGAAAGGTGGAGGCTGCGTAGCATTACGTCAGTTCAGGGTTCTACCAGGGGAGCTGATGAGAGAGACATTTACTGTGGATTTAAATGCAGTATTTAAGGAATCTAAATGCCAATTCCTCCCCTCAGGAGAAGCTAAGATAGATGTGAGCTCAAGTGTGAAGAAACACAACTCTTTACCAAACTGGAACTCTGAGCCACCCCTTTCTAAATGTTGAAAAGTACTATGTGCTGCCTGCCTTCCACCATCAACCATATGCTCTTGGGCTGAAGCAGTTCAATAGGCTGCTGTGGAACATCAAGTGATGTGTTGCTGCGTTTGTAACACCCGAAAGTCACGGCAGCAGCGAGAGCTTCAAAGAAGGTGTCAGAGGGCTGGATTTGGTGTGAAAACACCCCGTTTCCTCACACAGAGGTGCTGAAAAGCAACTCCACACAAGTGCAGTCAAGTTGAATAATTGACATTGAAGTTGGGTAATTGACATTAATCCTGCGGTACTTACTTTTCCATCCTGATAAGCATGGATGACCCTGCAAAGGTGAACGTATTCTACATCTCTCTGGAACGCTGCAGAACTCATTCTGCTGTTCATCTCCTCAACGTTTCCTCGCAGCAGATTTGCGTTGGTTCAGCGTGTGGCAGGAAGATTATTCATGAGAGGTGCACTTCAGTGTTACCGGGGAACATAAGCTACAGCTGAGAGGCAGCTTACCAAATGTTTTCCCAGGGATCTTCAGAATCATTTTCTATTGATTGTTGCAGGCTTTTGGTCAGGCTAACCAAGCGTGCTGATGATGGTGTCTAATGGCTGTGGGTAATGAACTAGTGGACATGGAGAAGGAGCATCAGTGGACACTAGCAGATGTTAGGCAACCGGAGTTGTTGAAGTAAAAGGTGATGAAAATTTAACTGAGAGAATCACTTCTTTTAACTGAAATTCAAAGCCCCCCTCCAGTCAGAAATCAGTGCTTCTTCCTGTTCCTACAGTGTGATGTTTGAATGGCGTCTTTTTTGCCAATACTGCTGAATATTTCTCAGAATAACTCAAAAGGCCACATCTCAGTCGTCCCATGCCATCCTCTGAATGACCCCACTACTGCACACCCCTGAAACATGAGCCCACTCCTCTGATGTTATCCATAGCTGAGTGAACTGGTGTTTGTGAACGCTGGAGCCCGGTGTGAGCTTCCACACAGCAATGCACTCCACTTCTTTATGGTAATGGTCCGGGTGAATTCAATCTAAACAAAAAACAAGAGGAGGTCCGTTCTGTTTATTCAGCCAAACAGTATGTAATGGAAACTATCTCAGAATGCAGCCTTCATGGTAGGGTAAGCCTGGCAGAGCCATTTCTTTTCCAGGATGGGACCGCTCTTAAGATAATGTACTGAGATCACAAGCTATGGATGCTTGGTGCTCAGCCTTGGAGGAGATGATTAAGGAGCAAACTCTGGGCATCTATTTTCACCACACACCACATAGATACTATTTCCATGTTGTGTGACAGGACCGAGAAATCCTGCTGTAACAATTTGATCGAAGCAGCTCTGGGCTCCCTGCTGTCATATATATGTACGCTGTGATGAAGGCTTCTAGCTGCAGTGTGTTAGCAGTCTGCTCCATTAACTGAAGATAAAAAAAAGATGTGATGATGTTTTGGTTTTGGTTTTACAGTCAAGTTGCCTCACAGACTGAAGCAAAAACCTACAAATGATTGGTTATCTATAAAAATCTTACTTTGACAGGGAGATGATCTTATGTCAGATTCTGAATTTGTGAACGTTCAGACTGAAAGAGCAACCCTGCTTTAAAACTAGTTCCAGTGACAATGAAATATGATGCAGGAAGGCCAGTTTGACTAATAGATCTCTGAGTCTGAAGGCTTATCAGACACCACTGCGTGAGTGGTTTATAATGCATTTTATGACTCCGGAAAGTTATCATTATTTTATCTCTTGGTGTGACAAATTTAAATGCAGTGACTGTGTTTAAGTTATCTGTGAATCGTAAACATTACATCAGTACAGGTTTTGACAGTGGAGCTGATGCATTTATTGTAGATTTAAATGCAGTTTTTTTGTAGATGTGAGCTAAAGTGAAATATACCTGTGAAGAAACACAACTCTTTACCAAACTGGAAGTCTTGAGGTACCACTGAAAAGCATGGTGTGCACTGGCACTGGCCACCAGAGCATCTTGCAGGATTGCACTGCATTGTGTTGTGGCAAAAGTTGAGCCAGGTTAAACTTTTTAGCTGGAAAGCCTTACTGTATTCCTCTGTATATTCATATACCCTGCTGAGCTGCTGCAAACCAATGAGGAGGCTGCAATTTCCTTACGCAGCATTAATGTCTGAATACTTATTTCTACACGTTGCATTATGGTACTGCAGGTTTATAATTAGCATCCCCTTAGGACACTGGTTCCCACCCTGGGGATCCTGACCTCCAATAGGGGGCATCAAAGCTTCTCGGGTGGTCGTGAGGATTTCTTGATTTTATTGGGTTTAAGAAAACTTAAAAATATACACATTTAGAGGAAAACTAAATTACATTTTTATTTTTAAAGTTTAGATAATTATGTTTAAGATTATTATTTAAGATTTAAACTTAGAGACCTTACAGTATCAGGGTGCAGTGAAGACTTGAACACAAGCTATGTTCAGAGAGCCTTCACTCTGCTAAACAGCCTCATCCTGCATTAGAAAAGTATGCAGTTAAAATAGAACATTGAGAGGAAAACACTGAATTGTCAAAAAATAAGCCTTTTTAGTATGTATGATAACAGAGAATTGTATAAAAATGTCAGGGAAAGTCAATATGCACTATATACACTAATTTTACACAAACAGACTGCAGTTATTGTGTTCACTGTTTGGGTTCATTGTACAGTTCATCAGCTGTTCTCTACTGTTATTGTTATGCATTGAATATAATATGAAAAATACATCACTTAGTCAGGGGTCGTCAGTTTACTGATAGAAAATGGGTCCCTAAAGGTAAAAGATTGGGAACCACTGTCTTAGGACAATGTGAGCCATGTGCCTCCTTTCCTTTTGGCCTCTAAACCTTTTAAACAGTACATTTACATACAGGCAAATCCTCAGCTGTCACCCAGTCACTAAGCTAAAGGTGGTTCGAAAGCTTGTGCAAGTGTTTTTCTGCCAGGTCCACTTAAAATTTCATACATCGTGAGTGTGTTTGTGGTCCATAAAACAAGAATATGCAATCTATGTATTTTCTAAGAGTCAATAGTGACGCATACTGTAGGATATGACCTCCATAAAGTATATGAAGACCCATAAGGTCCCATTAAGTGCATTGATCCAACCAGGGATGCACACAAACAGGTAACAGGCAGCCTGAACAGTAATAACAGCCTTAGGTAGAAATTGATTTGGAGGATACAGCTGTTTATTGAATTCTTAGACCAAAAGGAGCAAGAGGTCAGATCTGTATTGCATAGAGATTATTGATGTGTCCACCAGAAGAAAGTCAATGAGGAGCGTGATCTTTGTTTACACATTAGTGCTTATGTAATCCAACAACAGACTTACCCATAAAGTGCACGTTTTAACGAGTCAACGAATTAGATATTTTAGAAATGATTTCTGAGTTGACTGGTTTTCAGTGGCTTGCACATGAACTAACACATTTAAATAAGTGGACAATTGCATTTAAATACCCTACGTGACACAGTAATACAAGGATTAATTTAAGATTATAAATCCCAGAGGCTGTGGATAATAAGGGGCCTTCTACTCCTTACTCAAAATGTTGTAGCCACTACTGATCAGAGTTTGCTCAAGGTTCAGGGAATAGTCTGTGTTATTGCTCCTTTGAGACATATTCAGAATTACACACATAAAATC